AAGAAAAATTGGACGTTTCATATCATAATAAAATAAATGATTACACGATTATAGTCTCCGGTCCGAAAAAACCTGCATGTGATTTGGCATTTATTTATATTTACACAATTTACTAATGCTGCTCAATTGTGCCATTAATGTACTGACACAAAAATATGTAGTGTATTTTATATATATATAACTGATGTAAATGACAAAAACTAAGTTTAAGGCTGATGTCTCTATTCATTTTCACAGAAGCAAAGCGGCAGATGTTACAAATAAAAACATTTAACAATGTTATTGAATAGAATATATTAAAACCGTTATTGCACAACATAGGCCTATTCTTATAGGCTACACAGACAAAACAGCCGGAGATGCGTTTATGCATTTTTTTTTCTATTTTACGCATAGTAGTAGGCTAAAACAAGACTTTGCAAGTTCTCTTGTAAAATAAAATAATAAAAAAACAACATGGAATAAACTCTGTACAGAAAGCGAGTAAAGAACTCTCAACATTAGGCTACTAAAAAGGTCAGTTTAATCTCGCAAAACCTCCCATTAATAAAAAATCTGACTACACTGCACAATTAATCTCTTACACTGCATCTTTGTTGTTTATGATGAATTCGGTGCTTGCACGTACACCGCTTTTATTATTATTGCAGCTTAGATGTTCAAATAGCTGCAGTACTCAGACTTTGCCACAAGGAAAAGTGCGTACGCCTGCTCAGACCCTGACGTGGCAGTAAGTACTTTTCCACGTCAAAGACCGTTTTTATAAATATGAACGTTGCCGTGGATTTTAGCGTACGCACACTAAGATCAAATCTTTTATAAATGAGGCCCCAGGTATGTGTGTGTGTCTGTGTGTGCACGTGCATTTGTGTGATCATGTTTGTTCCACATTGCATTTATAAGAGCAGTTAGCCACATTCAGAAAAATGAATGGATCTCTATAAGCCTCTGCTGGATGTATATGGTAATTACACTTTTTTTTTTCTTTCTAAAACTGTATTTCCTACAGATTTTTCTGTAACCAGCAGATGGCAGAATGCTGCCCCTAACACCAAGATCAATATCCAGAAACAACTTAAATATTTAATTTAGATAATTATTAAAGTGTTTTTTTATGTAATATTTAAAATGCATGCTAATGGTGTAGTACAGGAATTTTGTGGTAAATGGATGAAAAGTACTTCATATCCCCCCTAAACAGCATAATCTGTATCAACATGAATTTCAATAAATAAAAATATTGTTAAAAGTCACACATTATTTGTTGCTCAGCACATGTAGTAGACCATTTTTGTGCCGTGGGTAATAGTAGGATTTCCACCCAGCTACCACCACAAGTATATTTCAAACCTGTGGGAAGCACTGAAAAGTAATATGGTCATACAAATTAATTACAGATTTGTAAGGTTTAAATGTGCTAGAAAATTTTTTTAAGTGTAGACAGATTGAGCTTAACCCATACATAACCATAAACTCACCATAAAATCAAACACATTTTTTTTCCACTAGAAAATAATGGCACATGATTTAAACATTACTGATTGGTTGATGTTTCCAAGACTATATTAGGTAGCACTTGTCAGATTTAAAATCAACAGAATTCACAGAACTATGCTTAACATAACAGAAAACCAACAATTCACAAAGCATGAAACCTGTTCAAGATCAACAAATGTTACATTTAGTGACAATGTATCAGTAACCCTTTAAGGGCAAGTGACAGTTTCATCAACTGGCCAGAAACTTTCACTCTGTTCCCAGGCTAGCTGATCCATTTTCAAGCCGTTTGGGCTTTTTATTTGGCCTCTTAAATTTTAAAGCATACCAGATGAGAATACAATAGCCTACTATGTACTTCACAACAGTCTTTTGATGCCCATTTTGCAAGCAAGTCATTCAAATGAACCTTGATGAACTTAAAATGAACTTTAGATTAGCTTTCCCACTGACAAAAAGTTTAAAGGGGACATCGGATGCCCATTTTCCTCAAGTTGGTATGATTCTTTAGGGTCTTCATAAAATGTCTGCAACATACTTTGGTTAAAATTCCTCAGTGGTAATGTAAAACAACACCCCTTTTACCTTGTCAAAAACAGCTCTGTTCACAGCGACCCGTTTCGGTGCATGTCTCTTTAAATGCTAATGAGCCCTGCTCACCCCGCCCCTCTGTTCCGTGGAAGAGGCGATTTGCAAATAATCATAAGAAATCTAAAGTGTGGGTCGGACTTACTTCTTCTGGAGGTGCAGCTGGATCACAAAGAATGGGTACTGATCCATCCTTGAGTTCTAACTTTTTTAGCAAAACCTGCCTTGAATTGTCCCTCTTTCAGAAAGCAGTCTGGAGTAAAATGATTCGCGCAGACATAAATGCATTTAGGCAGATCGGGGGGCGCATTCCCTTCCAAAACAAAAGTAATCCACTGCGTCTTCAGTGGCTCAGAGATGTCGGAAGTGAATGACGACTGCTATGTTCATTCCTACATCTAACAACCTACACCTGCTGCGGTGTCGAAACAATGGCGGACTGTTTACAGCTCACTCAGGGCGGATCTATGCTAAAACGCCAGTGTCCGTCAACAGTCGTGGGAGGGGCCTGTGCAAAGTGACGTCACTTTGCCAAGAATCTGTGAATGGCTTGTTCTGAGAAAGTGCTTATGGTTTGTGGGGATTTAAAAACAAGTACTGGCTGGATTTTTATCATTATAGGGTGGTTGTGTACACACACTGCCAACACACATTTAAGTTCAAACATTGTATAAAAGTGAATTTTGCATCCAATGTCCCCTTTAAAAGGACTCAAGACTA